TATGTCCATCGTTATACTTCAATATTGTATTAAATTTAGTCTCACATATCTATGCTTAGTAAACTCATGTAAAACACACAAAATAAATAAGAAATTGCTGGAGGAAGTCATATTCGAAGTCTTGACTAGCTACTAGTTTTGTATTTTTCAGTCATAATGAATGACTACAGTCTGAATCCGCGTGCATTTTCAAAATAACCTGTGGGACTAAATTTAATACAATATTGAAATGTGATGAGGGATAGATGATTGAAAACAAAGCACCCAGAGTACGTTATTTTTAATAAAAATGCATACATTATTTAAAGTGTAGATTCATTCAGGGGCGGATCTAGTATTCTACCGACGGGGTGGCGATTTCTAAACGATGTCGTCCAAGGTAGTATAAATAGTTTTTCTAAGTCTGGTAATGTACTCGCATTAGAATTCCATTTGTGAGGGGCGGCGGTCGCTGGATCGGCCACTGGATTCATGATGTATATGTAAGTGAACTTGCAATAAAAACGTTTGGTCTGTTAGATTTCAATATGAACCATTTCAAAATTTGTAAGAATTTCTCGAGTTCTATCTGGAATACTTATTCTCATACTTGAATAATAGTAATTCCATATTAGGTCAAAATAGCTTGAATGTTTCCTCGAAAAGTTACTACAATCTGAATCCGCGTGCATTTTCAAAATAACCTGTGGGACTAAATTTAATACAATATTGAAATATGACGAGTGATAGATGATTGAAAACAAAGCACCCAGAGTGAATTCTCATAGAGAAAATAGAAAAATATACAAATTAACCATGTATTAGCCATGTGTTTTCCTTTCCGTAGAACTTATATTAAATTAGCCATCAGTCACATACTCAATGAGTACAACAACAGATTCAAAACCACCACACAGCATATCACCTTCACAAACAACAACGGATTGTGTGCAAACTTCAATTTATCGGACAAAGTTTATTGAGCAACAAAACTTAGAAAACTTTCAGATCGTTTGGCTTGATGCTAATATCAATAAAACAGATGATAATTCCCAAACAATATCTCGATTACGTGCTTCTATTAATTATCTAAATATATTTGATAATGTTTGTGACTGTTATGACTACATAGCCGGTGTCCAAAATGAAAAAGTATTTTTAATTGTATCAGGTTCAATTAGTCAAGATATAGTACCATATACTCATCAAATGCCACAAATTCAATTTATTTATATATACTGTTTTGACATCAAAAAATATGAACAATGGGCAAGGAATTATGACATAGTGCGTGGTACATATACTAATATGAATGATGTTTGTGAGCAATTAAGTAAAGATGTCACCAGTTCACGTAAATTCTTATTCATGAATATTCTTTCAACAAGCATAAAAGAAAAAGAAATAAATAAACAAGAAGCTTCATTTATGTATTTTCAATTGTTAACTGAAATCTTAACCGGAATGGAACATGAAGATGATGCAAAAACAAATATGATTAATCACTGTCGATTACAATATATTGGAAATGAAATCGATTTAAAATATATCGATGAATTTGATAAGACTTATAGTCCAAATGAAGCC